TATCGACTGTATGTATGTATATCAATCAATATATAATTTTTCTTATTAAGAGTTAGAAATTTGCGTACCACGTCCTTGTTAGAATTGATTGGTTTCATGTATAACAATTAGTCAAAAGTATTTACATTGGATAATATGCTGAGTTTTGTCTAAGAGTAGTGGTCATGATAGGCTAATTCGTTGATTTTCTCTATACAATTTGATGGGTGTGGAGGTTGTGTGTTAAAATGGATGATGGCCACTCAATAGCTCTCGACTCGATTATATTTGTAGGTTTTAATCCACATAATCATCATATTCTCAAATTTTTATTTAAAAAATATATATATAATATGTAATTTTTAACCTAAAAAAAAGCATATATTAACCAGTAATTTATATATTTGATGTCGTATTTATTATTATTTTTTTGTGGGTTATGATTTAATAAGGATAACATATTGCAATCAAAATGAACATAGCTTAGTAGCAATTAACATATATTCCTTCACTCGAGATTATAACTTTACAAACTACAGTATTTAAATTTGCTATTCACTACACTTTTTTGGTACTATAAAGCCGCCTTTGTTTATTTTTCTCTTTTTTTTTTTCGAAAAAACGAACGTTTTAAAATTGTAATATAAAAAAAAACATAGACATAAACAAAAGTTTCAAAACCTTCACACCCTGAAGCTTATTCCAATCCAATGAGCAAACCAAGAAAACGATTTTTATTTTTGTGTTTTTTGTTTCTTAATTATTATTTTTAGCCACGAATTACGCCTTGATTTGGTGCTTAATCCAGGAGTGGGCTGCGACAATTTCCAGCTCTAACTTCAAGGACAAGTGTAGTACTCACTATCCAAGCTCTATATTCAAGGCTCTTTTTTATTCTTTTAAAATTTGTTATTAAATGTATTACATTACATGCTGACGTATGGCATGATTTATGAAGACCAATTTCAAGACATTATTTAATTATGAAGTAACCTCATCCTATATACTTGTTTACTTTCTATGTTTTCAAATCGTGTATTTTAGTCCTTTGATTTTTAGATATGGATTTAAAAGTGTCCCTCCACTTACAAGTATGTTAATTAAGTATCTAATAAAACCATGACTCAATTAGATATCACAAATTCAAGTTACAAGATTGCGACTTTAAGGTTCATCATGTAATGCAATTGAATTGACAAACATCGCAATCTTAAAATTGCGATGTTTCATCTTATGGTAGCATTATGCGACGACCATTTGATAATACAATCACGTTATGATCAACAAACATGATCTTGATTTTGAGTATAATTAAGATAGGGTCTAATATCGAGATGTTTCTCATTCTGTTGTGCTACGCAATGAACACCGCGATATCAAACTCTATCATGATAATGATTGCTCGATAACCTCAAATGATATTTTAGGCACTAAAATACCCCATTGTCACAATTTTGTTTAAACCTATTTTAAAAAATTCAGGGTAAAAAATGTAGATTTTAAAACGTATGGACCAAACGAACTTATAGGTATAAACTTGCTCATCAAAATGGTACTTTTCCCAAGATTATTTGACGTGCAAGTGGCATGAGAGAGATGAACCTGACCATTTATTATATTATTATACTATTTTTTACGTATCTTATAAAACGTGCAACCTTTTGTTTTTCACTTTTGATTTAAAGATTATACACTCCAAAGTGTATATATGTTATATTTCACAGCTAAAAAGAAGAAGATATACCATCAATGACATGTTGCCCAAAATCGGGGTATATAAATGACAAAACATAAGAACGAAGAACTAAAAATATATGTGATAAATTCGTTAGCCCAAAAAATGTAAGGATTTGAACCTTCAATCTGAAGAGAATAATCGATAAATGCCAATTAATTTATGATTGAATTATGCTCATGTATTGATAGATAATTGTGCTACTACACGTACCATTTTGACCTAGAATATAACTTGGGGAGCCTTTTAAGAATAAACAGAAACTTGAAAGATATTTTATAATTTGTGAGATCTTTCAAATTATCCATGTTCCAATTACATCTTATAGTGAAGTGAAGTGAAAAATGAATGTAGCCAAGTAAAAAACTCAAGAAAATGTGAGAAAATGGTTGCGTACAATAACCATAGTTCTTTACTCATTTCGGGCTGGACTAACATTAAAGATTATATTGGTACAAAATTATAAAATGGGCCTGATATAAAGCTTGAACTTAAGGGTGGGCCTCACAACCCGTGTTTGTTTTAGAGAAATTTGGGGTACTGACTATTTAAATTCATTCAAAACTGATTTCCTTTCTTTTTCTTCTTTTCACAATTATTCTCTATTTGAATTATTTCTAGATTTATATATATATATATATTAAAAAATGAATGAAAAATATACAAAACAAAATATATATATATATATATTGTTTATAAATTAGTAATTTTGTCTATACCATCTCAAGAATGAACAAACTACCACTCAACATGCTCTGATACCATCTTAAGAAACGACAATGCAGGGGTTCGAACATCGAACATAGGACCTCCTACTCTGATACCATCTTAAGAATGAACAAACCACCCCTCAACCCAAAAACTTAARCTGATGGGTTGGGTAAATTTAATTCATTTATATGGATTCTAACAGAAAGTTGGTGCGGGCACAAGTAGTTTGATTTAATTCATTGTATGGAAAAACTTGTTGGCCTAATCAATTTTGTTCTGGTACCACATTGGATTGGATATACGGTAGAGTAATTTTGCCTCATTGCAATGCACAAATCCCACATAAAATTTATATATTATTTTTATAAATTACTTTACACGGGAAACAATTTAAATAGAAGTAGTATGAAAACTTCCCTATTACAATTTGTCCAGATGGATATGGATATTAAATCCAACGAAAAAAATGGCAAGAGAACATTGATTAGGCCAACAAAATTTTCCCATACAATACATTAAATCAAACTACTTGTGCCACACCAAATAATTGACTTTCAACTAAATCTTCAAAAGGAGATAATACATTTTCTTTAACTTATAATTTAAAATTATACATATAAATATAATGATAAAACTAAAAATTTCCCTCATCTGGACCCGTACAATTCACATACCAGAGATTTAGACATCAACGAAGAGTTTCACTTTTTGAAAATGTACTTGGATGGAAACAAAAGCCTAAAAATTAATATACAAAATCATGTGCCTAGAATCTCATTTATTGAGACCATATAATAATTTTTTCATACAAAAATATGTATACGTGCTCGTCCATCTCCCAATCTAAATCTCGGTTCATTTTAGTCTTTGTTGGCCAATTATTTATAGAATTTGTGAAACAAAAATGTTTCACGAATCATTATTCTTTAAAGAATTATCTATTTTTACACTTCTATTTTTTAATTGTCAAATATTCATGGACAGTGATCTAAGTATTTTTGCTTACATATTTTGCTCTAAGTCTAAAACTTATTTCCTAATTTTTTGGCGTGAAAAAAAATATACCTTTGATTTTTGACGGGTGAAGCCATTCGGCACATATTAATTGTAAACCCCACTTTTTCTTTGCTCTCCTATAACATTGTCCATATCTCATTAATGAACTAACGCAACTTCTTTTACGTAATCTTTTAAACATTTTACTTTTTTTTTTTCAATTAATCTTTTACAGTCATGACATTAAAATTTACTAATAAAATAATTGACGTATAAATATATTTTATTATTTTCGACTTTTGACTAGGTTCATTTTGGTATATATATTTTTAAAACGTTTATTTTAGTTTCTATATTTTAAGAAGTGACAATTTTGGTCGTTTCAATTTCGTTTTTATCTCATTTGTAATTTTAGCATGATATTTTACTCGTTAAATTTTTTGAATGTTACAAATTTGTGTTGAAAAATTGTTAATAAGGATTAAAAGTATAGGTACCAATATAGTAATTTTAAAAGTATACGGAACTAAAATGAACATAAATTAAAATTATAAAATTTAAAATAGATATTTTAAAAATACATAAAATGAATGAAAGTTATTTAAGCCTTTAATAAAATAGACACCACTTTCCATCAAATTGAAAAGCTACTTACCTCATATGACAGAATTGTTTATGTTGCTAAAGATAGCACTAGTGGGCCTATTACAAATGCAAAAATTATGTGCAAATATCTTTAAAATAAAATTCTATTAGGTTTGTGGATACTAAATAAGATGATTATTTATAAGATAGGAATTGAGACCTCATGACATTTTTTTAGTATTTAATTTAAAATGTACTTATTAATTATGAAATCATTTCTTAAGGAATTTTTTTCTCTTTTTTTCCACAAAAGTCAAGAGATAAAACTAAATATTTTAAGGCGTACAAATAAAAATAGAAAAAATGAGATTTATGAACCTTGTATTTATGAAATCTCTACCAACCCAACCAATGTTTTGTCCTCTCCCATTCAATGTTGAGATAAATTCTCATCATAGAAAGTCAACAGAAGTAAAAGTAAAAGTAAAAGTAAATAATAATAATAATAAACATTAAAAATGTTTAAATCAATCACTGCTGCTACTGGATAGCTTTTAGATAGGATAAGGTTGTTACGCATTGAATTTTTTCAATAATTCAAAATGGATTTAAATCTATTTTTGTCCTTTATTTTAATTTCTGAACTTTACCCAATATATCTTACTTACGGAATTTCATTAATCATTAAACAAGATCTAAATACACATTTGAAATAATTCAACACTTATCTTACTTTACTTTAATGATAGAAACTAAATCAGGCTTTTAGGGGTGCTAAAAAAGTTTGAAAATAGAATAAACATAAAAATTTAAAGCCTATAATTGAATATAAACTTAGGAATATAACTTTTTTCTAGAGCAATGTTTTTTTTTCTTTGTGGTATCTGTGGGTGTCTAGATCAGTTTGTACGTACTTCAACTAATCTCACAAAACAACACTTAATTTCTAAGTAGGTACCCTCGAATTTAAATCCGTTGGACTCACCTCGACTCATTTGGACCAATAGACAACGATTATAGTTTTTTAGAGCAATGATATAGAGTTTGTGAGGAGATGACCGCTGCCATGCATATGCATGTAATGTAGATTAAAACAACAATTTGTTTAAAAAGTAAACTCTGGCATTTATTGAGTTTAGATACTATAATTTCTACTTTTTAATCCCCAAAAGGAGCAGTAACAGCCCGAAATAGTCAAATGCATATGCCAATCTGATGAACTTAAGCTTGAAATCGTTCCATGGCGGATATCGAGGCTCGAGTTCTAGCAAGAAGCTTCTCTGCAACACTGCTTTCTCATGGCTGAATGTATCGAAAGAATACTTGCCATGGTACCTTCCGAAACCACTTTGACCGACACCACCGAACGGTAGCGAATCACACAAAAACTGCAAGACAAAAACGCTTCTCATTTCTTTCGTGCTTGGCGAAGAATTTGCTTTAGATTGGAGTAGGTAGTACACGATACCTGAACCATGGTGTCGTTGAATGTGACATTCCCGGACGAGGTTTCGAATAAAATCCGTTTCTTTAGAGTTTCGTCTCTCGTGAAGGCGTAGATAGCCAAAGGTTTTGGCCTTGAGTTGATGAACTCAATGCTTTCTTCAATTTTGTTCAACTGTTTCAACAATGGTGATCATTAGGAACCTATATATGATTTTTGCAACAATAAAGAGGTTGTTTGCTTATTCTTACCGTGATTATCGGTAAGAGCGGACCGAAGATTTCTTCGGTCATGATATCAGCATCGAGCGGAGGATTCAACAATATAGTTGGCTCAATGAATCTACAAGATATCAAACACAAACCATTCAATAGAACATAATCATTTTACATAGAGCAACAAGAAGTTCTTCATTGGTAAACTTAGCTTACAGTTTTTGTTTGTCTATAGAACCACCACCATGGACAATGGAAGCAGCAACCTTAGGGTCCTTTAGAAGATTGCTGATTCTTTCAACCTGATGCTCGTTAACAATTCGGGCAATGCTCGTAGAGTTTTTCGAGTTTTCGCCGTAAAACTTCTTCATTATCCGCTTTAACGATTCGATCTAAAATAGGAAGATCACAAAAATCAACTAGAAAAACAGTAGGCCTACAACATACCAGGGAAAAGTTACTGATACCAATTCTGAAGCAAACTTCTCCTCCACAAGCACATAATCTATCCCTATGCACGCCTGCCCGGAGCACGGCCCCCACTTCCCTCCGACGATTCTCTTAACCGCTACCTACGAATTCAAGGCGAAAAACAGTTACATAACGAACTTCGTTCCATTAACGACATTACATTTTTCAGCTTCCAGATTATACAAACAACCTTCATATTGGAGTGGACAGAGGAGTAATCGAAGATTGCAGGGCATTTTCCCCCAAGCTCTAAAGTAACAGGAGTCAAATGCTTTGCAGCTGCAGACATCACAATCCTTCCTACCTTCGGACTCCCTGAAAAGATTGCTCGTAAAGATCAAATCGAAGAACACGATCGTCATGTTATACGAGTCGAGTTCATACCGGTGAAGAAGATTTTATCCCACTTGTGCAGCAGAAGTTGTTCACTAACATCAGCTCCCCCCTCCATAACCTTGATGGCTTTACTGTCAAGGTAAAGAGGAAGGGTTGAAGCCAGTAAAGAAGAGCATGCCGGAGCATATTCCGACGGTTTTAGGACCGCGGTGTTTCCCGCCGATATCGCTCCGATTAACGGATCCAATGACAAAGCTGCCAAACACAAGCAGAAGCATCAAAACTCCAATCTTAAGATTTTGGTTGTTCTCAAATTTCAAAAACAGAGCAGGGTAGAACCAACTAAAACAGAGCAGATAAACAATATTTTCAACCCATTTTGTTTGAGAATTAACTTGAGCCAAGGAAGGAATTCACTCACAAATTGGGAAGTTCCAAGATGAAATTATGAGGACCAAACCAAATGGCTCAGACAAGACTTCTCCTTTTGCTGGGAAGAACAGTAATGGCACATATTTCTACCTCCCAACAAAACAAAACAACCAAATGAGAGAGACAGAGAAGAAGAAGAGGAAGAAAGAAGGAAGAAAAGAAAAAGAAAAAAAAGAACACCTTTTGAGGGGCCATCCATTTCTGTAAACAGCATAAAGCATCTTTTGCAGATTTCAGAACAACTCCAACCTTAAACCAGTAGCAAAATTAGGCCTCTTTCTAAATAAAGAACATTTTCCAAATTGGTTAGCAAAAGAACTGATTAAAAATCACCTCATCTCGATAGATTTCAACAGGATGCTTCCCAAGATCTTGATACATAGCTTCAAAAATGGAGCTTTCCTTGTCATGGATGAACTGAATCAGCGAAATCAGCTGGTTTTTCCTCCACTCGGCACTCCTTGTTCTTCCACTTCTGAAACTTTCCCTCAGCTCCTCCAAATTACGTTCCATTTCCAACCCTTTTTCTCTTGTTTGATTTGATCTTTGGTGTGAGTGGAAAAACTGGGTTTTCTTTATCTTCCGTTCCACGCTTTTTGAAGTCGTGCCATTACTTCCCCAACTGGACAGATCCTCAGATTTTATGGAACCTGTTAGGCAAAGAATTTAATGTTCCAAAATGCCTTGTGTATTAGTTTAGTCCGAAAGATCATAAACTATTGGTTGGAAGTTGGAGTATTTATCTCTATGATTGTAATACTGTACACTAAAAAACAATATCATGTTCATATGAGAAAAATGTACATCTCTAAGAAAATCATGCAAATCAAGAAAAAAAAATTTAATCTTTTAAAACAGGTTATAAATTTTAGTGTTGGTATTTATATTTTGTTTTTGTTTTTGTTTTTGAAGACTTTTTATTGTTTTAATATTTTATCAACGTTTATACAATATAGTAGAAATTTGGACTGATTTTTCATATTGATATCTAACCTCTTGATTTATGAAAATATATATGAAAAAGTCAGATTATTCTTTTGTCACAGTTAATTGGGTTGTGGTACTATTGGATGAAATTGGAAAGTAGACCATCTACGGTGGGTTGGATGAAGTTGACGTTCTAGTTTGATTTTTATTAGTACAATAAATAAATATGGGCTGAAATTTTCAAAAAGAGGAAAAAAAGTACTTATCATTAAGTTATCATATTGGTGATCGCGATCCATTTGAATTTTAGTTAAAATTGATAAAAATGGAACATCTGTCCCAACCTACAATATTTAATTCGTATATTAATATGGGGATAATAGAAGATGGACCAAAGAGATAAATTACTCAATTATTAAAGGATTCAATTGATGTTTCTTTTTTCCTGTTTAGAAATATAAATTCAGGAAAGTTAAAAAAAATGTTAATTTTTTATATTTTCTTATAATTATGCATATTAAAAAGAAAGTCACGTCTTAATATCACAATCAGAGTTTAATTTTAGACACAATAAAAACGAAAACAAAATATTTGAGGTAAAGTAAAGCACTACCTACGAACCAATTACAAAAAATTCTCACTAAGACCACATTTACATGAAAAATTTGATTCCCTTTGATCGTATTTATTAAGAATGTATTCAAATGGTGGGACTCACCTCAAACTTTGTAATCGAATGAAAAGATGCAATCTCATTACACTCCTATAACCCCATTAATCTAATTCTCATCCCTTATTCTGTGGACCCCACATATATATTATAATTAATGTACCAGTTTTACTCTTTCCCTCTCATGTATGATTAAATCCATATAATTTTTAATTAGTTTTTTAATACTTTTATAATTTCTTTTCCATTTATACTCTAACTTTTATTAGTTGATCTGATTTTATTATATAATATTAATATTAATTAATATCAATAATTTTTTTAAATAGATATTATTATTTTTAAATATTAGAATAATAAGTTTGGTTGTTCTAATAAAAAATATTTTATTTGATGTAATTTTATTTTAATTATTTATTATGTATTAATATTAGAGAAATTGTTATAATAAGAAATATTTACTATCAATAATATATTTTAATAAATTAAATTAAAATTTATTATTATTGTAATTTAAAAAAAGATTACCACAATAATATATTTGTAATTGGCTAAAAAGGAGAAAAGGGCATATTAGTAATTGTCCTGATTCCGATTCTGATTACAGACAGTTCTAGTAAACAACATCAAAGGAATTGTGATTACAATTATAGAAAATTTCTAGTAAACAATATCAATGGAATAATATTACGATTCCGATTGATTTTCATTACGATTGCGGTTAAGTAAATGTGGCCTAAGTCACTTTGGATCCATCAAAATATTTGGTTAATATTTTGTTGATATTTTCTATCACTCCATCGATCTTTTTATGATACAATAGAAATATAGATTCATCTTTTATGTCAATGTCAAACTGAACATATTTGTACGGTTGAATAATTTCTAAAAGCTAACCAATCAAAAGTTAAGTACCTGACTGTGAATTTATGGTCCACCCAATGCTGTGGCTATGTTTAATGTACCAAAAGAAACCGAAAAGAAAAAGAAAAAAAAAGGTACCAAATAACTTCACTCCACCAATCACAAAGCACAACAAGGTATTGGAAAATTGATTCACCTGAATAATTTTCCCTTTCACCGAAAATATCCAACACAACTAAGAATATGCAAATATGAAGAAAACAGTAAAGAACAAGAATACTGACACATCAAATTATATTGGTTCACTACTAAAGACTACTGTCTTCCACTCAGATGTGGGTAAAATTTGTCCAATCCATAGATAGAATTTGAATGGATGAGCCGTGGATCATTCGATTACTTATTATCGAATTTTTTTCTTTTTTAGCTTCATTCAACTCGTATATTTCTTTCAATTCAAATACTAGAATTGGGTTTCTTTGTGAAAGTTCTTTTATTGTTTGTTTTATAAATAAAATGTTTTTGATGACCCATTTTTTTGTTTCTTTTGAGATATTTAGAAACAAGTTTGTCCAAAAGCCCTCTAGCTTCTAAGTATTTTACACAATTAATACTTAGGAACAGGAATGAAAAACTCACATAATCAAGATATAATTACTCGATAATATCGATCTTTATCAACCCCAAAGCTTCTACCAATGCCCGAGTCGCTGCCACTGATTTGCTGCCAAACCCCACTCAAAATCGGCTGCAAATAACCCCTTGTTCGGCTGAACCCAAAGCTGCGTATTTATAAACATCGAAACAGCGTCATAGCAGACGGAAAGACCGCCCGCCTTCCCCATCTGGACAGGCGCTGCCTCCTTGGCCCGAATGGCCTGCAGCGCTCCTCTATCATTTTGACTCTATCAATCCCAACTCTATCGATCCGACGCGGTTCTTTTTTCTTTTTCCTCGACAAATGAAACTATGATTAAGACCTTCTTTTGTAGATTGTAAGGTCTAAAATGAAACTTTCCTAATTGGAATGCCGTATTTATAAATAATAATAATAATGGAGGAAGATATTTGAAGAAAATTTCTTCTTCTATAAATATTTAAAAGTTCCTAAACTTTGAATCTCTAAAATATTAAATATCAAATTATAGTTCCTAAATTTTTTATTATTTTTTTTACTACAACATGTGGGGTGGAGGATCGAACTCACAACTCCTTAGTTTGAGATATATGTCAATTACCGCTGAGCTTGCTCGTTTTGACTTTTTTATTTAATAATTGACCCACTTTTAACTATAAATTTTAATTTCAATTTCATCAAACTAAAATTGAAAAGAATGAATAATGATTAATATTCTCTTTTAGCTAAGTTTATATTCTTTTACCAAAGTTGTGAAATGGTATAAGATAGGTAAAGTATTTAGTAATTGGAGCTCCTATATTGTACTGACTATCATTGAATTGAATTTTTGACAAATAAGCGAGAGAAATGCAAAGTACAAATACTCACATGAAAATCAAATTAGAAAGAGAAGTTAAGATTAGTTAGTACGTAAAAAAATAAAAAGTAAACTAAGGTGATCGAGAAATTAATTTTGATCATAGAAAAATTATTCCATTCATCGAGACTAAGCAGTTGAGCTCCTCAAATTTTAGGGACGAAAACCTTTTATACCTGCATAATGTTATCCATTTTAGGCTTAAACTAAGCAAGAATTTGTATTAATCTCGGTTAGCATGTTGAGTTTTGTAAAAATGCGCCTCTGGAAATTTTCAAATATTAAGCCTTTTTCTTTTTATGACGGGTGACAACACTTTACTCAAAAAGGAAGACCCTTTTTTTTTTTTGAAGGGGTTGGAAAGATATTGTTGGATTATTCTAAGTTTTAGAAAAAAAAAAGAAAAAGGATTTGTGAAAGGAAGATTGAGAGAGAGTAAAATTATTTCAGTTACATGTCAACCACACTTTTCATCTTCTCTCCTTTTTCTTTGTTTTTCTTATGTGGGATTATTGTTTCTTTTCCTACAACTGAGAAGCTCTCTAAAATAAGTCCCAGAAAGTTCTTGGCGATTGATCCATATTTATGGAGGAAGTACTATCGTCTCTCGTGATTCAAATGGAATAAATATTACAATTGTGATATTTTGGTAATTTCTTTAAGTACAATCATTTAGAAATATAGAGAATCGAACTTCCGACTTCGAGGGAAGGAGTACATTTCGATAAACTTTTATTTGAAGAATCGCTATGTTGGAGGTGAATTCTCAACTTGCACGTGGCATGCTATGATTGGCTATTCATTAGTACACGTGTCGCCCCTTTTGCAAGTGTATCTGTCTCAGTTATGAATCATCATATCGAGTCGAACCCATTCGTTGGCCGAGTCGACCAAATGTGTTAGTTGGACCACCTCGGCTCAGTCAATTCTCCGACAGACTCCGCGACATCACGCCGCACTACACGGTAACCTTAAAGAGCTATTGAGGCCTTGTCGAGAACATTGTCGGGGACTTTGCCTATAAATAGAACTATTTCACCTCATTTCAAGGTACGCGAACAGCTCAATTCTCTCTCGAGTTGATTTGGATATTTGCTGACTTTGACATCGAAGTGCTTACTATGTGGTCTTCTGCATGGTATCTAGAGCTCTCTATCCAGCTCATCTTAGCAAGCAAGTGGAGTTGATGATTTTCTTCATCAAACACACTAAAAAAATGTTTTTCATCTGCATTTAATAAGTTACGTGAAATATTTAGTTGGGTTTAGTGTCATGGAACTTTGATGGGTGAAAGTTGATTAACTTTGCTATGTTTAGAGGTAAGTTTTGATTCATTTTTCCTTGTTTTTTAAATTTCTTTTGCATTTTATTTCAGATCAGGTTGTAAAAGACAACATCATGCAGTATGATTTTGTTTTTAATTTTTATCTTTGTGGAAATTAAATATATGGACTCCCAATTTCTTTGGTTTAAATATAGTTTAAATAGTATTTAAATTTCTTTTGGTCAAAACTTTAAGATCATTTAAGAGAAATAGCATGTAAATATATTTGCAAATTTGTTATACATAAAAACATAACTGGTGTAAAATATGGTGTATCATTAATATACTATTTTATATATATATATATATATATAATGGATCAGACATGTCTAATATACCATATATCACCAATATTATTTTAATGTAAAGTATATCAACAATATATCATCGTTGAATCATGAAGTATATCAAATTATTGGTGCCTAATTTGATTGTCTTGGATTCTTTTCCCCCTTTCGT